TCGTATGTCTGAAAACAGTTTGACTTAAAAAATGATCAAAGTAAATAAATAAAAATAACCAGGATATTTGAGATCAATAGCTTTTATATTTTGTTGTATCTTTGGCAAGCTTCAACATCCATTCAGGTATTCACCTTTCCAGAAAAACAGCTCCTGAGTAAGTGCCATCTAACTGCAGGCAATAGCTAGAGGCTTTCTCCCAAGCGTAACCCGGCCAAAAAATGACTGACTTCAAGTCGTGTCCTTGCAATGCAGTACCAGTAACAAAACCAGCAAGCTTGGAGCGCTTCCCTTCTACCTTAACAGGGCATTGAACTAACTACCACGGGTTCATCTCTCTGTACTGCCGTTGTGCTTTTTTTTTTTTTTTTACTTTATTGTCTCAAAGTACAAAATTCAGTCCCCTTTCTCAAGGGAATTTGTCAAGAGTGAATAATAGGGAATCGTGTATTTTGCCGGAAGGCCTTTTATCTGTGTCCTTTGAATCATATAAGACATCATTAAAAAACCCCAAATGAGTAAACACTTACGCATGAGTTGGAGAGCTCATCACAAAAGTCTAGATCTGCAGTTCACTTGATTGATTAAAAACCGTGCAATGGTATTCTTAAACAACAGCTAGAAAACTAGATCAGGAATTCATAGTAGCGTCGTCTTCCAAATTCGTACCGTGGCTGCAAAGACTCCTGGTAGGTACCGAGCTGGTTTGGCTGGAGGGGGCGGGGGGTGCCAATGGTGTGGTTGGCACTGACAATCAGCGATTCCTTAAGGTTATGGACCTTCTAAAGTTCTTTCTAGTGGGGTTGTGGACCTGTCTAAAACTTCGTCAAGCGTACACACGCATGAGTACATGCTTTCTTAGTCACCTCTAGGTTATTTTTAAGTTGTCCAAGTAGCTCCATTGACTGGAAAAATCACTAGCTTAATGCTGTAGAAAGATGCAGAGAAACTGAGGGCTAACAACAGAGGAGTCGTGGGATGCAGAAACTACGTAAACCAAATTAGGGCCTATGCTACGTTGGCATCTGGCTAGGTAGATAAACCGTTCATAAAACCTATGACTCCAGGGAAAGCGCTTCTCTTCCTGTATTGAGAAGAGGCAGCAGAGATATAAAGGGCTACAGCACATGTTTTTGTGTTTATACAGATATCCCCACTCCCTGTGGGCTGTTTGCACTGGCCGCATACGGGAAGAAAGCCTTGCTTCTCTGCCTGCGTGGGCTTCCTGTGGGTGACCTGCCAGCCCTTCCCAGCGTTACGCGGGTGACTGTGTGCGCAGATTATTTATTGGGAATCGGGCCTGGGAAGCATTGCCAAACATCCCCAGGTAGCTTACTTCCCTTCTGTGAGGAGAATAAAGCCTGATGTGTATTTCTGTGAAAAATAATTGCAGGTCAGAGATTTTGCTCCCAGACGACAGACTTTGCCTGAAAGATTCTTGGCACCAGAGGTTCAGGGGTCAAACGCTTTGATGTCAGGAGTGAAATGTTCCTTCACAAAACACTAAAGTCTTAGAATAAGCAGATGGTTTCATGCGGAAACTGCCTAAGCATAAAATGGTCTCACAGGTGACTTGTACCTTGTTTCTCAAAAGACAGAGCAAGAGCTGTTTAGGAGCAGTAATTATGGGTATGGACTGAGATCCCATTGACTAGCTTTTAAGTGAATTAGGATGCAATATGCTACCGTTGACAGCTTCCTTGAAAGGGAAAAATTATTCTTCTTCTTTCTGGGTGAGGAGCTGGTTTTGGTTTATGTTGGTAGCCAAGAGCCCAAAAGTTTTCATCACAAAATGAGCTGCTCCTGCAGCTCGCCAGCTTTCACGGCAGTGGGGAGGAGGCAGCGAGGCGAGGTACGGTGCAGAGGTGGCTTAAGAGCTTACAAGGAAATGAGTAACGAAGTGCTCCTGCCCCACCGTGTTTTGTGCTCCTGGAGGTGAGGGTGGGACATCTCAGCACCAGAGTTCTTCACAAAGCCAGCTTTCTTCGGTGTTTGCCGAAAGCTAAACTCGTGAGTTTAGTCAGAAGCTTAATCAGAAGGCACCAAGGTTTAAGCAGAGCTGCAGACGTTTTCTGCTCCTAAAGTTACAGTAAAATGCAGCTTCTCATCTGTGCATGGGCAATTTTTTTAGCCAACAAGTTTTACGTAACCTGAATAGTGAGGTTATTAACCTACTATTAACGTCAGGCTTGTAACCCAAATACTAGTGCTCTGCCATAGTACGCCTCGGCTTATTGCTGCCGGAGTAACTGGGGTCTGGCCGTACCTTCCCGTCTGCCAGATCTCCCGTCAAAACATCGTACCGTTCACACGCAAATGTCCTGGGAGGAAACTGAGGGTGGTGTTTCCTTACCATAAAGATCTGGAGAGACGCGGGTAGATCTAGCTCAGAGGGAGGACATGCGTACGCGTAATTATTTTAACAGGTTATTTATTAATTAGCAGTAAATGCAGCGTTCATTTAAGCTTATGGTGGCAAAGTGCACATCTTTTTCTGCAGGGAGAGGTGGACTCTTTGGGGTAACAGTGCTTGCTGTGTATCTGTCTCGCTGGTCTGAGACGTAATGGGAATACCCCGCTGTGCATACCCTCGCGGGATTTACACCCGTTTGCATCCATGCCGTGGTCACAGCATAGTTTGTGCAGGGGCCCTGTGAAACAGCAGCAATGCAATTTTCTTTCCTTTTTTTTCTTTTGGGTGCGTGTGGTCATAGTGGGTGAGAGTTGTAGGCGTGCTGCAAGCAGCGTGGTGTGGGAAACCAGAGTAACCCGGCTCCTCCCGCGTCCCGCCGGCTGGCGAGCGGCCGCGGGCGACGGCCCCCCGTCCCCAGGCTGGCAGGGAACGTCCTGCAAAGCAAGGCCCTCGTGGCCCGGTACGTGACGTCAGTCAGGGCGTCCTGACGTTCCGCTGTCGCCGTGGAAGACGGACAGAATTCGCAATCTTAGTGTGTCAAATACGTAAGAGATTTGATGACTCTTATTTTAATGAGAGATTCTCCTTTCTCCATTCCACCTACTGTGTTTGGTTTGAAGTGGAAAATACCTTGTATAGCTTTTCACTTCTCAAGTTTCTTTATTTTCAAATAATTTCTTTTAAAAAATAATTCTTTATTTTTAATTGTTTTTGTACAAATACATGCTCTAAACTGTTCATTTTTTTTCATCTGTCAAATCGGGTTTGGAATTGTTAAAGAAGGAATGTAATGGATGTTTTTTCTTAGGAGCTACAGTAATCAGTTCTTTGAAAAGAATACAGCATCTCTGCTCCAAAAAAAAGAGTTGATGTTTATCTATTCTGAGGTCTTTTACAAGTGGAATAACCACAGATAACTTTATAAACACATCATCCAGATATGCAACTTTATATCCAGCATATTTGCAGTCCGTGTTAAACCCCAATAACAATGCATCAGAGGAAGGCGAAAGGAAGATAGTATGCCATAGCTGCCAAGAAGGGTTACCTTTCAAATATTTAAACTGAAGTTTCAGTATTCGCAATAGTCATAATGTGATACGCTGGTGTAAAATTCTGTTTAAAATATGGTGGTGCCGTGGCAGCTTATGATTCTGTGTTGGAAAGCTTCTTTTACATATTATTTGTGTTGGAAGGACGGGCAGTTGGCTGTGTCAGCTTTAGTGGCTTTAAAGATTGCTGGTAAAGGTTCTTGGTGTCCTCAAACCCCGCCAAAGGCAGAGGTGATCAAGGACACAATATGTTTACACGTTTTGAAAAGCACAGATCCTAGTGATTTGTATGAAATCTTTGATCAGTTGCAAACACTAAAAAAAAAAAAAAAATCACAAAAAACAACCTATGAATGGGAAGTTTGCGAAAAGGGCTAGGCTGGTCACTTAACCGTAAATCTCATAAATCCAAATATTGATTTAGAAGACAGTAAGTAATGAGTGTAAATCCACACAACACCTAGATTAATAGATGTTTTTGTACGTAATTTAAATATACACATGCACATGTTTATTCAGAGGAAAGTTTTGTCTCCAGTGAAAAATGAAACGAGAATTTGTGGACAGTAAACTCAGTTCAATCACTCCAGGTAACGTTGTTTCCTCCTTCTCTTGACAATCCTGATTTCACAAAGAAAACCATGGGTTTCCAGAGAGAGTCTGTAAATCCAAAAGAAATGCAGCACTAAACAGTAGTTTTCCTTTAGTTAAATAGATTTAAATGTTGAAAGCAAAATAGTGATAGCTATCGTGTTGAGGGCTTAATCTCTGCTGTACCTGCTGTGATATTTTGTAATGACTGCTTTGAAAAATATTTGAAATTGAGATCTAGCAATTCAATTTCAGGATTTACAGCAAGCTTGGAAGAAATCTCCCTCTGCAAATTGCTACCATCAGCGAGGCCCCTGTCCCCTTGGACTGTCACTGTGAAAGCCATCTCTTCTGAAACTGGTAAGCAGAATTCTCTGTATATAGTTTTGGTCTCAAATTTTTGTTTTGTAATCGTACTGCCTAACCATACAGGTGTTCAATTCATATCGCAAGAAAAATCAGTGCCTATCAAAGTACTTATTTCTCTTAAAGTAAGGCACAAGGAAAATGTGCCTTGTCAAGTCCAAATGCAGGATAGATGTGAGCAGGGAAGGGCTGGATGAGAGCACAGTTGCATTATCACTTGCTGAAGCCTTTCTTGCTGGCTGACAACCTGTATTTTCTGAGCGCTTGAGAGCCTAGGCAACATTACTCTTGTTTTATATGTTGGTTAGCTCTTATTCTGAAGACACATCTGTGGTAGTAAGACAGTTCCAGAGAGAGTTAAATTCATTCAGATCAAAATCAAAATCATGGCCTCCTTTGGCTTTTTTCCCTGCGTTCTTTAATTGCCTCTGTAACCTAAAGCATCGTACACCTTTTAAAGACTCCGGGCTACAGGTGTTGCGAGCAGGATCACCTCATGGCGTAGCTGACCCGGAGCAGCGTCGCATCCGCGTTCTGCTCGATTCCTGCCTCCCTCCCCCTCGCCCGTTGAGCTCGGACTAGTCAGAGCCGGGGGAGGCAGCCGAGTCCGCGTCTTCTGTGTCCTGCTCGTGGGGGGACACCGGCTGCCCGCCTTTGACACGTTTCCACTTCATCCTTCTGTTTTGAAACCATACTTTGACCTGGGTGATACAAAGGAAATAATTACTTACTGCCTCACTCCGAGCTGTGTAAGCAGACCTATGCATACATGTGTGTATCAATAGAGAGATGTTTGTGGAATTCTAGAAGAAAAGGTGAAAGGAGCCTCACAAGTTCAAGTAATCCATCTCTCTAACAGAGGCAGGAGCAATTCTTTCTAAACTGTTCCAGGCAGATGTTTCTCCGAGACCCGCAAAGGTAGTACAAGTGCTTTGCCTAGAATCTGTCTTTATGTCAGCTAAGCATGTCAATCCAATCTAATGCCTCAGGAATTGTAATTTGCTTCACTTAATTGGGCAATTCCTCTATTGTCCACTAAGCTTTGATAAGGAAACTCTGACTGAGATCACAATGGGAGAGCAGAAACATCTCTCTCCACGAAACGCTGCGGTTTTGTCTTTCCTTATCACCTCAAAATACTACCTGGCCCAAGAAGAATGCGTGTAGCAAACACATGCCATTCTAATGATTTCCTGGTCATTGCAGTCTAAGGTGACATCCATATTCCGTCTATAAGCCTTGACATGTCAGCATGTGCCAATGAGTGGTGGTAAACAACAGCTCAGTAGATATCAGTTGTTCCCAAATGTGTCTTTAGTTTAGATAAACATAATTACATTTATTAACTACTTACAGAAATTTGTAACAAGTGTGTTTTAAAAGAATGTGGAGGCTTTGTATTAAAATACCTCTGTGCCATTGCAAAAGCACACGCTCGAGTAACGTATCTGGTTTTTAGCTTTAGGGAGAAGTTGTGGGGGAGGAAGAAGAAGCTGGGGAGGCAGGGGTTCGGGAAGTACTTGTCTCTCGGTGAGATCCAGGTTCACAGCTATCTCGTATCTCCTGAGCCTTGTCAAGTAGTTATGGTGGGCAAATTCAGCTTCCAGCTCCCGCAGCTGCTCCTTTGTGAAAGCTGTCCTTTCCTTCCGTGACTTGCTGCTCGTTTCTGCCTTGCCGCTTGAGTTCTGGTTTTCTAGGAGGCAAGCACACACGTTGTGTAATTTGCAGTTACGTTGAGCTGTGTGAACATGGGTGCTGCAGAGGTCTGACATAAACCACTCGCTGAAGCGCTCAGGGGAAGTTTTAAGACGATTGTGTTATGCCCCCTCAAGCTCAGCCCGAGCTGTCCGCGTTGTCAGCCTTGGGTTCAAGGGGACACGGGTGGGACGGCCCGGAGCCAGGAAGGGGCGTGCTGTCCAAAGCGCAGAAGCACACGCCTGGGTCTGCAGAAATGAGCAGCTATGGTAAGGAAGCTCTCGTTCCTTGCTATCGTTGCATCGAAACGGTTTCCTTCCCCACATCTTTACTTTAATTCCTCATACACACGTTACCAGTCTCCCCCGACGTACCAAGCAACAGGCAGCAAAACACTTTGTTTATGATGTGTGCGTGTTGTGAGGGCATGGTGACGACCTCTGGTGCAGGGCGTAAGGCAAAGTCACTCTGTAAGCACCCTAAGCTAGCACACGGCCTGGAAATACTCCATGTGTGTGTGGAGGAACATGGTAAAACAAGCAACGCCAGAGAACCCTTGTTCTTTGAACCGGCACACGATACTCCAGACTTTAAACTTCTCCTAATCCTTGCTAAATGAAAACTAGAAGGAGATCTGGTATCTGTGTGCATGACTGGCCTCAGTGCCATCCTCGGCACTGTGCTGCCCTGAAAAACTTTTTTGCTATTTGTGCACTTGGCTGCACGAGTCGGAGAGTGGCCAAGAGTCATATTTCAAAGCCAAATTTCAAGCCATAGCCAAAGGGATGCTGCACCAATTATGCCAAAAAGCAAGCACAAGCTGACTTTCCTGACACTGTGGCAATCTATTTTTATTTCCTTTTTTTTTCTTTTTTCTTAATCTATTTTTTAAAATTCTAAAATTTTAAAATTGGTGCTTGTGAAGAATCTCCAAGCGATGCAAGGAACAATGCCCATGTTTCAGTGAGCAAAGCTCAAACTGCCAGTCTTTCAGTTTTGCAATTCCTTGACTCTTTCTCCCCTCTTGCTCCTGCGGTTGGCTAGATTCCCTGAACTGAAGATGCTAGTAGGTTTTTTTGTTGTGTTGAGAATTAATTCTTTAATTTTTGTGTGTAACAAGTGTGTAATGAGGTTCCATGTGTCCTAGCATAATATTTCTACATAGAAATTATATACAAAGCGGTAGCAATGAGCGTGACATGCAGTATCATCTTCTAGATGTCCCTTTGGTTGCCAAAGTAATAAAGCTGGAAAAATCTGTCAGGTGTGGCTGTAGGCTTCATGATTGATCCAATCTTAGCACCGTCCATCAGAAATGGGGAAATCAAACATAGCTGTGTTTGTGATTAGTGATAATGTGCACAGGGACCCATGTATCACATGCTGCAGCTGTACTGCTCTCTATTTCAAGGAAATTAGTCTTGTTTGCATCAACATTGTTCATGCTAGTTATACTTCAAAAATCCCCAAGTAAAGTTGGGGAAACTATGAAAACGAAACCCCAGAAGTTTCTCCGCTTGCTTTTGCCCATAGTCGTACAATCCCCTTCATTCTCACCTCTTACTGAGCAAACACGCCGCCACGTGTTTCCCAAAGCTGACAAATGTGACTTTTGAGGGAGTGGTGGGGAAGTGGGATTTGAAGCATGGATCCCCTGCCGGGAGCTTTGCCACCAGCTTCTGGGAGCCTCGGTCTGAAGGGCTTCCCCCGGGCCTTTGCTCCCCTAGCAAACACGCGGAGGGGTGAAGCAGCTCTCCGATGCCGATAACGTGCTGCAGGAACTAAAGCCACCTCTGTCAAATTAACCTGGGATCAAAATAGCTAATGAAACCTGAATATACATGCGAGATCAAGGGCATCCTTTCTAAGGGGCAGTTTGACCAGTCTTCATTTCCAAAAAACAACATGAACAATTTTAAACAGCTAAGTATTTCTGGGAACAGAGCAGGATGTGTGCCACATGGTGCTGTAAAGAGACAGATGGTTATTCACGGCTGGAGGTTTTGTGATATTCCAAAAGTGGAAATTGGGCCTAGTTGTTTCAGAGTTTTGACAACAGAATGTGGAAAATGGCAAACGTTGTGTGAAAGGCCAAATCAGCTTGGAAAGATTTTCCTACTGTACTGCCAGTTTGAAAAAGGGAAAAAAAAAAAAAAAAAGCAAGCTGCTGAGGAATCACCGAAGATCCGTGCCTCTGCCATGAAGCATGCATGCTCCCAGGATCCCAACCAGTTTCAGTGTGTGGTTGAATTGAACGGCTGCCTTTCCCCAGGGCTGCAGCAAAATATGTCTAGGAACCCAAATGGTACATGTTCCTACGCTAGAAAGTTTCCAAAAAACCCTGTGTCAGGCACTAATACGTACATGTGTGTACGAAGAGACAACCCATTCCCTGCAAAACAATGGGCCAAATTCAGCATTTGGAGCTGGTCAACAGAAGTCGACTTTGCTTTGTGCTTGCAACCAGCATAACTGAATCAGAATCTGGTCTCGTGAAGTAGTACTCACCCTCCCTCACTGGGCTGGACTGGTCTGCTAACAACAGCCAGTAAACAGTGCTTTGGAGGAAGGCATAAGGACTCTGCACTGTGCAGGACCAGGATTTGGGCACCACAGAGGGTGCTTGTGTTGCTCAGAGAGCAGCTTAGGCGCAGAGCAGGGGGGTCACTAGCGCCTGTACGAGGAGGATCCTAGGTGCTTGTCAGCTGTTTGTGATGATCAGTGCACCTGGTGTCTGTTATTCTGCGAACTGCTGTCGATGTCTGCAGTTTTTCCCTTAGTAGAAGAAAGTGAAATAAAGATACTAAGCGTCTGCACAATGTTACTTTTTCCGCCATACTAAGGACTTTGAGGGCATATTTATTCTAAGTGGTTAAATCAAGTAGTAAGACACTGATAGATTTTGCTGTTATGGAACATAAAATCCTGAAAGCTATCAGGAACACTGGCCGAGTAAAGCGGCCTGATGAAGAGTGGATTCATTTGGCAGCTGATGATGCAGTACCCAGCAGTTACTTCAGCGAGCGCCTCGTGGAGTAATGCCCGATGGGGAGTGCGCACGCAGGGCTGCGGCACGACGGTCTGCACCCAGGCCGCTTTAAAGTGGTCAGGGACCTGCCTGGACTTTGCTTTTCGTCCTTCTCAGGTTATCTGCTGCTACCTCCTGCTACCTGCTCTTACCTACTGCTTTTTATGCCACCGTGACTGTAAACGGGAATCGCAAGCTTAGAAAATCCTCTTTACAGTTAGTGGCAAGGCTGAGAAAGGCTGGCAGGTGGGAATTCAGATCAGCTCTGCACACGTGAACACAAAGTTTTCCAGAATCCTTCAGTCAAGGACTTTGTATGTTTAATGTTGTTAAGGGAGTCATTACACGCTGTTATCACGTTCTCTTTTCTACTGCAGCCTCGCTCACATTCTGTATTGTTTCATTCACATAAAAGAAAGCTGTCTGAATTCAATTATGTATTATATTCCTATTGTTGGAGATCTGGGGACTTCAAGTGCGTAATAACGCAAGTACAATTTAGGATAGGTCAGACAGAATCTTTATTGAAATCTTATTTGAAAATGTTAATAGCTGTGGCTTGTGGGTGGACAGCAGAGGCAGCTGTGAAAGCTAACACTGGGTGAACGTCTATCTTCCGTCGTTTGGCGAGCTGGGAAGTCGAGACTGAATATGGCATCGAAATAACTAAAGTCTATAGAGGGAGGGTAGGGTGTGTGCATGTTTATCCACGAGCGCTTGTGTAGAAGCCGCTGTTGTTATTGCCATAACAAAGCCATTCTTTAAATTTTTTAATATATCTATGCATCAAAGAAAGTTTTAAAGGTGGACAAGCTTTTTTATTATTTTTACACCAGTCTGCTTATTTGTCTGAGAAATATGCTTATTTTAGACTTTTCTCAGAATACTCTGCAAAGAGCCGTGTTCCAAGCTCTTCACTATCTATCTTGTACTGACTAGGGTCTCACGAGAACCAAAGGTTTTTGCATGCGCTAGCACAAATCATGGTAACGCTGTGATCATTGTAATTGCAGTTCAGGTAAAACTGTGGTGGATAAGGCACCAACTAGAAGAAAATAATTTATTTTGTAGTTTTTTTCTTCAAGTGATTTCAGTATATTTTTCTTTACTAGCCCAATCTCTAAAGAGAAGGCTCTGGGTACCTAGATTTTTTTCTAAAGAAGTCAAGGAAAATTTTCAAGAGGAGCGAAAAAACTTACGTTCCACTTAGAATAAACAATCAGTATGTGATATGTCCAGTTGCATTTCTGGAACCGCTGTAAAAATGAAGGAAATCACAATAAAATCGCTCATAGACTTTCCCCTCATTTATTTTATTTTGTCTGGGGACAGAAGGAAGGAAAAGCTTGCAGGAGGGATATCAAATAGTTCTGCTGTCTGGTAAGCAAAGAAGGGAGTGAAATGAAAAGCCACGGAATTCCCTTTGGGATGTCCCCGTTATTCTGCGTTCGCTGGAGCAACAGCTTATGCAGACAGCAACCGTCACTAGCAGGTGGGAAGCACCGCACCTTTCGGCGGTGCCGTTGCTTACAGCTCCCCTGTAAGGAAAAGCGTATGGGGCAGCAGCAAGCAGGGAAAGAAAATGTCAGGGTGCTGGTAACAGAGAACAGAAGGAACACTTGTCTTCTACTTAAAACAGGGAGCTGTGCTTTGCAATCAGTCGCTTCAAGAATAAGGATATCCCTGTAATCTGCGATGCTGAAATCTGCTGTTTGCCTATGACTAGCAAATGTTTTAATAAAAGCACCGTTCACTTTTAATTTTTTTTTAAACTTCTTTGCATTTGGGTTTTGGGGAAATTTTTGCCCAAACATGCTTTTTCAATAGAAATGAACTTAAATTCTACAAAGCTGGGTTTCTAAAGAAAAAAAACAGGTAACCGAAGGGAGTAAACTAGATTCTGGGCATAAAGAGGTTTGGAGTACTCGTTATTTTAGGTGTTCCCTGACAGCCTATTCATACTGGAAGAGAACAGAGATAAGGACTAACTGTGTGCCAGGGAGCACGAATACAAGCTTGCTGTTTAATTTGCAAAGTGGAGAAATGAGAGTTGGATTAGAGGTGGCTCTTCTGTGGCCCACCTGTAAAACCTAAAAATAAACAGATATTTTTATCGCTGTGTTTTCTACCTGTAAAATGGGGATACTGGAAAATATTCCTTACTTCATAGCAGTGCTGTGGGATAAAGCACACTGTAGCTGGCAAATGAATACCATAGCAAATGAATGCATATAAGCGTCTCACTTTCTAACAGCTGCCTTAGGAGAAAACAATTTTATGCGTATTCACATACCTGGATCTGAGAGAGCAGCAAACCAGAGGTGGTATAACTATGAAATTATCGAACAGTGTGCTGTAGAAAGAAGGTGCTTTGCTAGCTAGGATGACACAACGAAAACTATCTACATTTTCTGCCTTGCTGGATGTTGTACTGATGGGCAAACTTTTAGTACGTCCTGTTTTGAGGTAAAAGCATTTAATATTTAGTGAGGCCAAATAGAAATTATACCTGAAGGGAGGCTTTGCATCTTGTACTTCTTACCATAAACTGAGATGTCAAAATCCTAGTATAACATTCCCAACTAGCACAGGCAGCTCAAGATGAGGGCTCTTGCTCTTTGGCTGCCGTTCTCTCACGCCTGGACAAACGGCAGGTACGCGATACATAACTCCACATCCCAGGACTGTCAGCTCAGCGCGCACAGGCCATGTGGTTCCTGTTCAGTTACAGCAAACGCGCGTTGTGCTGGTGAGTAAAGTGCCTGGTTCAGTAAACAAGATCTGCAGGAGTGAAGCATGTCAAAGAATAAGCCATTTCCTTTCAGCGTGAGCTTCCCCAGTCAAGAATTACAAACTGTTTTCCTTGTCAGTTTTATTTCTTACTTCCTAACCTTACAGGTGCTCCCGTTCTATAGCCTGCACTATCCCACAACCCCGATTTCGTATCACCTACCTGAGTTCTCCTTTTTTCTTTCGGATGACTTTTTCTCAGTCTCATTTGTAGTGTTTACAGGTACCTCATCATCTTCATTCATACCCACTGCCGCGCTCACTAGGTTTGGGCTGCTGCTTTCTGACTCCCCAGAACCCAAGGCCAGGCCTGGATTTAGTCGTCTTCTGGCCTCAGTTGCTGCAAAATGCCAGTCAGAGTGTTGGAAAGAGGGGTGCTGCTCCAAAAATGCCCGCTCCTCTTGTGGGAAGCTGTGGGGAGCAGTCACCAGGCAGGAGGTTGAGAACTCGGAGTAAGCAGCGAAGTCTGATTTTTGATGGAAGGAGAATGGTGCTGGTGGGTAGTGGTTCAGCCCCGAAGCTGTGGGGACATCCGCATGGGTGCTCCGCAGGCACCCCCAAAGCGCGGCGGGAGGCTGCGGGCTGCGCATGCAGCTGCTGCTGGTGGGATCCATTTGCTTCCAATCCTGTCCACACTCCAGTGGTCGTGACTGGTTATGGCTCAGGCTTCACAGTCAGAAGAGGAGCAGAAGGGAAATCTTCCAAAATTTTACAGAGTAGATTTCCTCCCTAAACAACAGTTTGTTCGTGGGTTTTATGCTGTTGCAGATCTGTTACTTTGGGAACTCTTCTAAGCGTCTTCATTGTCCCGACTGGAGAACAGGAACCAGATCTGCGCAGTGATTGCCCCGACTTGCTTCCCAAGCCCCGACACTTGCTTCCTTGTGAAGTGCTGGACATGGGTGAAACACTTTTTAAATACTGTGCTGGGGAGAGAGTGACAAGTTTGTGAAGTGAAATGTGAGAGAGGGGAGGGAGGGGTTAACGTACATGCACTCGGTCCCTCCAACCAAAGCAAAGCAGGCAACTATTAATCATCCGAAACCTTATATGCACATCTAATGGGATTTGCAGATGGAGCCTTTTAAAGAAACAATGTCTGTATTTTTTTTAAAAGGGGAAGAGCAGCACACAAAAAAGGCTTTAATGTTTCCCTGTAACACTATGAAGTTATTTTTATTGCACTGTTAACTAAATTCCCCAAGTCTTGGATTTGGAAAAAGCCCTAACACAGAATTCAACAGATGCCAAATTTCAAGAGCTAAAGTGGGAAATAAAAGTAAGAAAGGACTTCACTGATGATAAATAATGGAAGGCCCAATCCGAAGTTTAAAAAAAAGTATTAAACCTGGCTTGTGCGCACGTACAAGATTCTGAGTGATGTTTGGTTGGTTGGTTTGTTAGCTTTGTAACACATGCATTTGCTGAGAGTTGGAGTTTGCTGCCAGTGGCAGTTATTCTTTCTGTATTCTACTTTCCAGGGAATTTTCAATATGCCACTCCTTCCTGCCAGGAAATCTCCTGCTTTTATGCCAATGGAAGACATGTTTTTCATCTTTTGTTGAAAGTTTTATAGTTTTTCCTAACAGAAAGCAGATTCTTAGACCCCAAAGCCATCACAGTTGAAAAGACATTAACAGGGAATCTGTTCTCAATCCCTTTTTCACAGAAGTGTGGCAGCTGGGAACGCCCCAAACCCTCCTAGGCTAGGGTTACCGCAACTTCTCTCAAGGTTGTTCTCTATGTTTTTAATGACAATTTATGTGTGCGTGTTCCATGTTTCCATAATCTGCTTGCAACCATTTCCAATGCTGATTCTGCTAGGCCTTGCTCTATCTTGTGCGCCCCTCTTCCCCTTCTCCCGCCATTTGTGCTGGGTTTTGTGTTCTCTTATAGACACGGAGATTTAGCAGACGGACACGGAGCCTTCGTTTTTCACAGGGGCTGTGAAAAAAAGTGATACTTTTATTTGGCTTCTGTATAATTCAGAATTGTAACATTTCAAGGAATCAGGCCCCCCCCCCCCAAAGGTGTGCTTATCCTGCTGTATCTGTTGTTGGTTCTTAGAGCTTGGCCTTTTCCAAGAAATCAAGTGGGCTTAGTCCAGATCTTTCTGAACAAGAACATCAAATTCTGTTCTATCGCATGAATCTTGACTTTCTTGCAAAACACTAAATATCTGATACCTAATTCATTCTCTAGGAAGAACTCTCCTAAATATATAAATCTGTTGTACTGTTGCATTAGAGAATAAACATTAAAACATATTTCCTGCTCACTGGCAGGAGGAAACCCCCAGACTGCTTTTCTTCTGAAAGGCCAGGTTATAATGAATTTATGAATGCTGCCAATGTTCCAGGTACTGGCAGAATCTAAGTGAGAGTCCAAAACTTTTTGCCAAAGCAAAGTATTTCGTTTACATTCTGTGTGTGTGTTGTCATGTGTATAACACTCACTCGCTTCAGTTACACAGGGTATTGGGGCTTTGTATGAATTCAAGCCTAGGTCTGTTGTTTTTCAGTCCTACTTTCAGTCTACAAACTGCTAATTATGCAAACGCTGGTGTCCTTGCACGCATACTCGGGGCGATAGAAGGGAAGGGAGGATTGTCCGTTAGCCGCTTCAGCCAGGAGGAGCTTTAGGCTCCTGTTCAGGAATGGCCACGAGGTCGGAGCAGAGCTCTGTCTGCAGGGCACGACTCAATTCCTGCGCATCGCTTTGCGCTCCATGTTAAACTGCTTGGACCCCATTTTCCCAACAGGGCTCTCACTGTTGTTCCTCTAACTTCAGATGTGGGAAAAGGAGCTGGCATCCCCTTCCCAAACGTGGGAACCCTCAGGTCCTGCACAGCTCCAGCACCCTCTGCAGCTGGTGCCATCACTCAGCTGCTCAGCAGGGGCCTGTTTGACCTCTGCATCCTCCTGACACTTCATTCCTGAAAGAAGAAAGAACAACAATCCTCCCCTCTTGCTAAATCCCATTTGTTGGTTGAGGCCGCCACCTTTAACCTTTGTAAAGTCAACATCTCTTCAGTCAAGCACTGTGTTGGGTACAAAAAAAAAGGCACGGATGGAGATTGGTTTTTGTAACGGATGTTCCCATAACAAGCCGAAGGCTGGAAAGTGGGGATTTATCTTTGAGCTTTCTATCGGGTCATTCTGCGAGTCCCCCAGGAAAGCATTTGTCAGCCATCTCGCAGACCGAGAAGCCTCTGAGCTCCGGCTCACCCCGAGACCTTGCGCAGGAATTTGCGTAACTTCATGAGGGTGACATGACACAAGTTGTGCCATGTCTTCACCTGCTTTTTCTGGCAAGGCAATTTTCTTTCTCAGTGAAGAAAGACCTGAACCATCTCACGTCACTTTAATGTAGCCCTCCTCTAAATCACCTTCACGCTTGTGCTGTTTCTTGGAACATGGGAGCTCTCTGGGGCAGGAGCCCTGGTCCCGCTCTGCTTCTGCTGCCCCGATCCAGTGCAATGGTGTCTGGTGCTTTTGCACTTGAAATCTAAAGTGATTGCTTAGATTACAGATTTTACTCTGATCACAAAAGAGTAAAGGAGTAAAGGAAGATCTAGCTTTGCAACAGAGAGACACCGGCTAGACGCTTATCTTGTCAGAAGTTTAAGAAAAATTTACACTCTTGTCATGGAGAAAACTCTAGGTACCAAGGTCTACTCTTGAAATTCTATGAGCTACTAAATTGCAAGTTAATAACACCCTTCATTAAAAAATAGTGCTCTCCAAACTTTTTTTTTTATAAATCCTAAACAATGCCATGTTATGACTTGCCATGCGTGCAACTGAACTAACTGGGAAAGTTTTCTTCCGTGCAGTTACTGGACCAAGACTGGGGAATTCCTTGTACGTGGAAGAACCCTGGTTATTAACCCCACTACACGTTTTAGCACTGATGAAAGAAAGATGGAGAGCAACAAACAGCCAATGCTAAATTCAGGAAGGTGCTGCTTAGTTGCAGAAGTTGAAGATGGAAAAAGTTTATTAGGTTACTTAGTCTCCCTACGGGTGGTAGTTTTATAGTTCTCTACTAGACATTTCCATAGAATCATAGAATGGTTTGGGTTGGAAGGGACCTTAAAGATCACCTGGCTCCAACGCCCTGCTGTGGGCAGAGGCACCTTCCGCTAGACCAGGTTGCTCAAAGCCCCCTCCAGCCTGGCCTTGAACCTTTCCAGGGAGGGGGCATCCGCAGCTTCTCTGGGCAACCTGTGCCAGTGTCATTTTTTAGGATATTGCCCAGGCCCGAGTAACTGTGTCACAGTTTCAGTCTTCCACTTTCCCCTCGGGGAAGACAATTCTTCCCTCTTTCCTGGTGTCTACACGCAGTTCTCACTTTTACTGACCCCATCTCATTCTTCTGAGTAACAACCTGGTGGCACTGCACAGATGGAGAGCAATTATTCAAGCGAGTTTTAAAATTTTGTGGTATCTACGATAAGCCATCTTAAACATAAACCAGATGTATTTCAGATTTTTAATCTTTCCTCTAAGTCAATCGCTATAGCCTCTTAATTGTGTTTCTGATGCTTTGAATTCTCTCCAAGCTGCAGTGCTAGAAACGATTCACTAGCACCAAGCTCCGACTGGTGGTACAGTTTCTCTCAGTGAAGAAGGGAGAATCATTTCCGAAAGAAATGCAGCGCTGCAGGATCCCGAAGCTCAGTTTCCAAGGGATTACGTGGGAGATGTTGTGCTCCCCTATGCCTCAAACCTCCCTTGCAAATGCTCCCAAATGTTGTATATCTGCTGAATAGCAGTGTTTCCCTAAAGAATGAATGTGATGCTAGGCTAAAAGCCATTGCAACAAAGACGTTCAGAAATAGAGATTAAAAAAACTATCCCGCTGCCTGAAGCTGCTGTATCAGCACAGAGCCGGTGATAAGTGCACTGATACCGACACAAGATTACACTCGTTGGCACGACAGATGCTCCTGGAGACAGTTCAATATTCCATTAGGAAGTCATCTTCTGCCTCACAAAAGTCATCGCAATGTGAGGAAAAATTGTTGTTGACTATTCACTGAGTTACTCCTCCTGAGCTGTTCTCATATATAGGATTGGTCATTTGGCAACCTCGTGTTTGTTCTGCTTTCATGAGGCTGTGAAACTAAAATAACGTGTTGGCATTGACACATGAACAGGGAAGAGGGAGGATGGGGAGTCTAAATAAAAGATTGGAGCTGGCCCTGGGTTTGCCTCATCTGCTGGGCATTTTTGACATGTTTAAGTATTGCAAGAATGGGTCATAATACCCAGCATCTCTGAAGTTCATTTTTGGGGGCATTTTGCAGACATGCTTAATGAATATTTACAGTTCTTATTCTTACCTGGCAGAAATAAGTTAAATAGCTTTCCAGAGGCTGAAGAAGTAGAGCCATAGTCGGAGCCTGTAGGTCCCTTTTAAAGCTGAGTAAAAGCCAAGCCAGTATGACCTGAGGCAGAAACTTCGTACCGGCTAGGCGATACCTCCTACACCCGACTGGGTAAGCTTACGCCTGCTGAGGTCAGTAGGACATGACCGTTGACTCACATCACACGGGCAAGGATTTAGCACCATTGCTTGTCTGCCAGGAGAACTGAAAGTGCTGAAACAC